TGTGTACAGATGTGGTCTCCTCACCTCAAAAAAGATATTTTGGCCTTGGAAAGGGTTCAGAAAAGGGCAACTAAAATGATTAGAGGTTTGGAATGGGTCTCATATGAGGAGAGGTTAAAGAGACTGGGACTTTTCAGTTTAGAAAAGAGGAGACTGAGGGGGGATATGATAGAGGTCTATAAAATCATGAGTGGTGTGGAGAGGGCCGATAAAGAAAAGTTATTTATTAGTTCCCTAAATAGAAGAACTAGAGGACACCAAATGAAATTAATGGGGAGCAGGTTTAAAACTAATAAAAGAAAGTTCTTCTTCACACAGCGTGTAGTCAACCTGTGGAACTCCTTGCCAGAGGAGGCTGTGAAGGCTAGGACAGGATACTTGGCTAGATGGACCTTTGGTCTGACCCAGTACGGCCATTCTTATGTTCTTATGTTATGTAAGGAAATTCTCAATAAAACATTAAAATTATTTTCCACCTGGCTCAATGCAAATCTTTTCGTAGACCATCAGTTGCTAATGGAAACTCACTGTTAATTCCATAATTACACCCGAGCCATTTTGCTAGTACTGCAGCTAGGGAGAATGGTTTCATTTAAATTATTTGAGCATTTTACCTTTCTCTACTAAACCCCCCAATCCTCACTGATGTAGCCTACTCTTCTGGTGCTCCAGCCCCACAGGGCAAGGAGAAAGGACAGGGAGGACTAAGGTTCAGGGTTTCCCATTGGCCAGATTTACTTTTCTGGGTTTCTGGAGTTAGTGGATTTTGTGGACCCCCTTAAGCTCTGGCGTGGGGACAAAAAAGAGGGATTCATTGTGTGGGACAGGATTGTCTGCAAGTGAGAAAGGGATGGGGGTGCAGGATTTGGGAGGGAGGTGGAGTGCAGGAGGGGGTGAGGTGTGAGGACTGAGTGGGAGGTAGGGTGCAGAAGCAGGCTGGGAGTAGGGTCTATGGCTGGCGGGGTGGAGGGTCAAGGTGCAAGGGAAGATGTAGAGAGCGAGCAGGAGGTGTAGGGTCTTGGCCTGGGGACAGAGGGGAGTGAGGGGGAATTGTATTGTGGGGGTCTAGGCATGAGGGGGGCACTTATCTGGCTTTGTGCCTCCATTGCTCCCAAGTATCACCCCTGCCACTCCCATTGGCAATCCAATGGGAGCAGCGGGGAAAGCCTCTGGACAGCGCATCACTGCGCTGCCGTTCTCCCAGCAGGGCGGAATGGGATGAGATGGGGAGGGAGCTCTGCCCCCTCTTCTTCCCCTATATACTGGGGAGCCTGTGCTGCCACTCAAACCTCGTGGTTACCGTGCAGCCCAGCTCTCCTCCTTCAGCCACTTCTCCAGCAGGTTGCCCAGCACCACATTGATCTGGGGGGGCCGGCAGGGTTGAGCGTGTCGGTGGTGGCAAAGCAGGGCCGATGGCAGCAGCCACAGTTGCCGGCCTTAGCACAGCGGCCGCAGTGCAGGAGCACTAGCTTGCACAGTAGCCACTAGCAGTGCCAGTGGGCGACAGTAGGAGGGATCACCCAGCACTTTGCCCATGCATTTGGGGCTGCCGACGGGCCAGGGCGGCAAGTGCAGCACCTTCTTGCGCAGGCTGAGTGCCAGGCTCTCAGCCAGCTCCCACAGCTCCTCAGGCTGCAGGCAGGCCAGCCAAGTAACAGTGCTGTAGGCCTCCCACAGCCCGGGCATGAACCCAGCACATCTCCCTGGTGAATGTAGAGGCCTCGCTCAGGCTGTTGCAACTCAGACAGCTGTGAGCCATAAATCTCGGCAGCCAGCCTGAAGTTGCTGCTGCAAAAGGTCTCCTCAGCCACCTGCAGCATCTTGGTGCAGGGCCCTGCACTCAGCTCTATGCTGCCAGTTCCACTCACTGGACCTCCCTGTCCCCTATGCTCACTGGGCCTCCCTGTCCCCCTATGCTATGCCACCCATTCCGCTCACTGGGACTTCCCATCCCCTATGCTATGCCTCCCGTGTGTCCTCTGAACAGGAAGTTGGAGCTGGTGCTCCAGCCTGTGGCTGAGCAGCAACTGCAAGGCTCAAGCTACAGCACGGGCTCCCCACTGAGTTAGGGGAGCTACGCTCAAGCCATGGACCACCTGGGAGGCAGCTGTGGACCACTAATGGTCCGCAGACCACACTTTGAGAACCACTGTCCTACTGTTTTTACCAGTTTCTTTACCATCATTAGAAATGTTGTATTCTTAAAAATTTACTTTCTACTGCATCTTTGGTAGATTATGAGGTATGTCTCATGCTCTAGCAATGATAAACAAGTCAGGAACCTCATTGCAACTGTGCCTAAGACTTTACTTCACGTTGAGACCCTACATTTCTGAACTGCATTGCTACATTGGAAGACAGTCATGTTAACAACAGATGCCAGATTTGATTCTGGCTTTAATGTGGCTGAGGCCTGTGAGAGTAATCAGTCTGTAGACCACAACAAACACTTCACCTTGTACTGCCAGGCTGTGTCTAGACTACATCCATTTTCCGTAAAAGGGATGCAAATTAGACGTATCGCAATTGCAAATGAAGCGGGGATTTAAATCTCCCCCGCTTCATTAGCATAAAAATGGCTGCCGCTTTTTTTCCGGCTTGGAGCTTTGCCAGAAAAAGCGCCAGTCTAGACGCGGATCTTTCAGAAAATAAAGCCTTTTCTGAAAGATCCCTTATCCCTTATTTTAAGAGGGATAAGGGATCTTTCAGAAAAGGCTTTATTTTCCAAAAGATCCACATCTAGACTGGCGCTTTTTTCCAGCAAAGCTCCAAGCCAAAAAAAAAGCAGCTGCCATTTTTATGCTAATGAAATGGGGGAGATTTAAATCCTCGCTTCATTAGCAATTGTGATACGTCTAACTTGCATCCTTTTTATGAAAAAGGGATGCAATCTAGACGTAGCCCTAGACTATAGTGCCATTAGCATGGTATAATGCTGTAAGTGGAGGTGGAAAGCAGATCCCGGTCTTGAAAGTGTTTTATAATAAAAAGTATAGTAAAAAGGCATTGAATTTCTATTTTTACCATGTGTTAATCAATGAGTTTTTAAAAAATCATTAGTTATAACTAGCCACATAAGGTACTGTGCTTTGGTATGCAGATGTTCAATGCCAGGAACAGAACAAACAGTACCATGTCATCAAGTAACTGGAGTCTGCTACATGTTCTATGGTGGGGATACAATCAGTTTCCACTGGGCAAAAAAATCAGGGCTTTGTGTACATACAAACGCAGCCAATTCGTTCTCATACTCCTGGCACAATAAATGGCACCCTGGGAGGGATGTGGATAGAGGAGTATTATTGAGATAAAACTTGTGTATTAAAAAAACAGCCAATTGTGAGAAACTAAACTCTGCCTGTAGTTTGTTGTAGTGGTTAAATACATTACTTTTACTTATATCAGGGACTGGTTGGGTGAAACTGCACCGCTTGTGTTCCCAACCTTCCTGCTCTATCTTATTTCACCAGCTGTGAGCTGGTATCTGCTTTAAAACAAAAGCTACCCAAAACACTTTTCACGTGGGTGTGTGTAAATGATTATCTACAGTACACAATGGCCAACATAATGTGTTCCCTAGAGAGAATACTATTCAGCTAATGAGAGAAGGTCTTAACTTTCTTCAGCTCTAGCAGGAGAATCAACACCACAAGCTTTCTCTCTCTGATGACAAGTGATATCATTTGATTCTTCATTTTCATAAAGTGTATAATCTGCTTTACGGTAAATTATGTTAATAAAGGTGGAACAATGGGGGGAAAAAATCAACTTCCTCAACAAGGTTTTTCAATAGTTTGTATTTCACCAACCAACAAACCAGTAATATATTATTTAAAATTATGATGTAGAACAGTGTGCTAAGTGACTGCATCTTCCAGATATTACTTAATTTTGTGTTTTAGGGATTTTACATTATATTGCTTTCACAAAAACAATAGGATTTTGGTCATTAATGGTATGTCTATCAGATAAATTAAGCACATGCTTAAGTGTTTTGCTGAACAGGTAAAGATTTAAACATACACTGAAATGTTTTATTGAACTAGCCCTACTCCTTTCATGATTGAGGGAAGTCTACTATAGTCTACTCAAATCTGAAAATAAATTGAAACCGATAATGGACACAACCTTTTAGAGCACGTCCTGATATTTAGAAGACAACAGGGCCAGAGAAGCTGTGGTTTTTTGTTGTGGTGGTTAGTTGGTTGGTTGGTTGGTTTTAAACAAAGAAAGGGTGCATTTCTGATCTCTTCACTTACTATTTTGTATTATCAGGTCATCAGATGTATTGCCATTATAATTTCCACACAGGCCACAAGGTTTCCCTCTGTGTTCTTCTGTCAGTTTAATATAAATACCAGAGCTTCCATCCCAAGCAAGAGAAAAACCAAAGGTAGTTTTCACCAGAATATAGTCAGCCAGCCTCTCAATGAAAACATTTCCAATGGTCTGAGGCAATGTTAATCTGGAAAAACAGAACAACCCATTTTAAACACTGTGAGTGAGGCTAGAACTATAAAAAGACTACATAAAATGTCACCTAACTCATCAACTCTCCTCCCCGGGTGTACTCAAAGTCTGCTTCTTTTCCTGTCAAAAAAACATACATTTTTTTCTATCTGTCATTCCTGTTATTTTTACACAATCAATTCAGTGAAATGGATTATTTTCTGGCATATTCACAATCAATACAGAATTGATGCATAATTCAGAAAGAATCCATACTGACTTTCAAATTGCAGGGTTCATTTGCTGTATTAGCATGTTTGGAATGACAGCTTTTTACTTGTAAGCTGAAAATTTTTTATATGGAGTCATTGATATAGACCAGGGGTCTCCAAACTTTTCAGCCCGAGGGCCGCATTAACTATCAAACAGCAGTTCGGGGGCCGACTACACACTTGAGGTCCAAATAAAAAACAATCAAAACATGGATGTTGTTTTTAATTATGTATTTAATATTATTTTATTCAGTTATTATTTAATAACACATTCATACACTACACATGAACACCTGTATTAGTGTGAATGGTGAAATTGTTTCCTGGATGCCAAAATAGCAGACATTTCTGGCTTTAGATTTGTTGTCCCTAACATCAACAGTGACCTGAGATTATCATCGGACAAGTTTGTTCTCAAATTGTTCTTCACGTATTTCATTCTTGAAAATGTTTGTTCACACAGGTATGTTGTTCCAAAGATTGAAAGGTACCTTGATGCAAAAGTTTTGACATTAGGAAAGTCTTCCTTGGGCAAAAACTGGTAAAAACCCACCAGTCCTATTTTGAACTTGTCCCTAAGGAGGTCATTTGCTTGCAACTCAATGACTTCCAGCTGCAGTTCATCTGGGCAACTGGCCACATCTGCTTCAAATGGGTTTTGAAACAATCTCACTTCTTCTGCCTTTGAATCCAAAAAGGTCTCCACGGGCCGGATGAGAGGGCCTCGCGGGCCGCATCCGGCCCCCGGGCCGTAGTTTGGAGACCCCTGATATAGACATTAAGCATGGAATCTATGAACTCAAACTCATGAATATAGTATCTTTTTAGAGACTAACTGCACATTTAATTTATTTGTAAACAGAAGAAGCAACAGGCAAAAGAATTTTTAAAATGTCAGAAAATGACTGTAATTTGGAGCCATATCCATCAAGTTTTCAATATAGACAACTCCCTTTGAAGTCAATAACTGTTCTGTGTATAGAATGCATGTAGAATAAGACCCTTGCTATGCAAATCAAAGATCCAACAGCACAGAAAGATTTATTAGCCGTGTGCAGTATATCCTTCATTGTGCTTGTAGCTCTGTCCAGTTAGTGGAGACAGCTATGCTTGGAGTTCCACCAAAAACTGCAGAATCATCTAATCACTATCTTCAAAGGTGGTTGCTTCTGCAACTAATGGCAATATCCTTTTAGATACCAGGTGCAGCAACTCAGATGAGACACCACCAGATCTATTCACCTTTATGTTTGAAACAAAGAAGGGTAAGCCTGATGGAGCCTAGGGTTTGATGTATCTCATAGGCTGTGTCTACACTGGCAAGTTATTCTGGAAAATCAGCCGCTTTTCCAGAAAAACTTGCCAGCTGTCTACACTGGCTGCTTGAATTTCCGGAAAAGCACTGACGATCTAATGTAAAATTATCAGTGCTTTTCCGGAAAAACTATGCTGCTCCCAGTCGGGCAAAAGTCTTTTTCCGGAAAACTGTTCCGGAAAAGGGCCAGTGTAGACAGCACAGTAGTGTTTTCCGCAAAAAAGCCCCGATCGCGAAAATGGCGATTAGGGCTTTTTTTGCGGAAAAGCGCGTCTAGATTGGCCACGGATGCTTTTCCAGAGAAAGTGCTTTTCCGGAAAAGCATCCTGCCAATCTAGATGCGCTTTTCCGGAAATACTTTTAATGGAAAATCTTTTCCATTAAAAGCATTTCTGGAAAATCATGCCAGTGTAGACATAGCCATACAGTATTTTTGGCATCAAATGGTGACACACAGAGAATTTAAGAACCTTGATTAACTCAATTTGGCCTTCTCTATAATGAGGCAATGCACTCAGCATGTTTACCTTTAATCAAGGGTTAACCAAATTTAACTAACATCATTTTAAATAAAATAATCCAATGACTGACATATTATAACACCACACATTTTTTCCAATGTAGAGAAACTCTTGCTAGTCAAAGGACAGGCATTTGAGGAGTCAGAAATCAGATGCTGAAAATAGCAAAATTAACAGACTAACTCTGAAAGGCCTAAGTGAACAAGCTGCTAAGCATTTTAATGGAATTAAATTCCTCTGATCAAATCAGAATTTGACTTAATAGTTATGACCTCTGAGGGCAAGTCTTCACTGCAGCGTTATGCCAGGCTCTTACCTGGTATAGTCCCTAGTCCATCCACACAAATCCTCTCTGCTGAGTTTAGTGCTGCTTTCTACCCAGGCTAGCTGATGCGGCTGTGGGTATGGATTACAGCACAGGCGCCACTTTCACTCAGGCTGGAAACTAGCCCACTTTGCAGTAAGGGTGCAGGTTAAATCAACTGAGGGCCTTCCCACTATTCCCCCTGTGCACTCAGAAGGACAAAGATCTTCCACAATTCATTAGGGCAGTGTTTCTCAAACTGTGGGTCCTGACCCATCAGGGGGTCGCGAGCAACTTAGAGGGGGATCACAAACTAATTAGAGGGGGGTTGCGAGCAACTGAGAGGCTGGTTGCAGCAATGGGGAGGGGGGTCGCGGTATCACAAATTTAAGAACCCCTGCATTAGGGAAAAGTTCAGAGTGTGACTACAGCACAAAGAACCAAGGGATATACCTTCCAGAAGCTGTAGTGACACACAATGGTGAGACTAGCACCAATGAGGACTTAATACCTCAAACTGTTCCTTTGCAGTGTGTCTGTTCACATCTCAGCTAAGCTAACCCGGGCACTCAGAACCAGGTGTAGATCATGTGGGCTAACAATGCACCAAAGGGATACCCTCAGAGCACTTCTAGATTTGGTGACAGAATCAGAGCTTCCTAATGCCAATACTTCATTTCTGAGGTAACATGTTCCAAAATCAGTCAATTTACCTGCTTCCTTCCTTTCTTACTTCATGTCCCATAATAACTATTTCTTCCTGGTTTGAAAAAAATAAGCTGATTGATCGCAGACAAGTGTACACTGAACCATCACACTGGGGGCTGTTATGAACCTTGAGAGGAGAAAAATATACACACACTGACAACTCTATATTTACACACAATACCGAATAAATGTACATTTAATCTTTTACATTTCTATACACCTCTCACTGATGGATCCCAAAGAACTTTAAAAATAATTATTTAAATAATACAAGGGACTGCTGATACAGGGATACATATGGTGAGAAGAAACTGTGCCTTGAGCCACTATAAAATGCAGTAACTGTTTACCAGCACCCAGCATCATTGCAAGCAGCTCGGGACAGACAAAGTAACTGGAATATTTTATCCAATTGAAACTGGAGGGAGAATTTAGTTTAGGCAGAATATAATTACCTACTTATGGGTTTAATAATGACCTGGAACACCCCATATCTTATGAAAAGTGCAAGTGAGCCTCTATTGCCCAAAAGGATGTGCCTTCTGAAAGATGGGCCACCAGTAACACAATAGTCCCAGCACCATATGGGCACTTTCTGTATTGACCTAGAAAAAAAAGCCTGGCACCTATTCAATCATCAGCATCCATTCCTGCACCAAGGTTTTTCTTGGAGGTGTTCTATCCAAGTACTGACTCTGCTTTGTCCCGTTTGGTTTGAGAGTTTGGATAGGAGAGTGTCAACACAACATTTCGTATTGACTCTGCTTTGTCCCGTTTGGCTTGAGACTTTGGATAGGAGAGTGTCAACACAACATTTACCAGCAAAAATTGCATTTACCAGCATAGAACTGTCATCAAAAATAATAATCATAGCTCTAACTGGAAATACTGCATCAACAAATATTTTTCATGTAGTCCTGCCCAAGACAGACACACAGACTGCAAAAAACTCAATATATTTTATAGCGGGGGTGGGCAATAAGATGGAGATGGTTTGTCAGGGTTAGCCTCTGGTAGGCTGCTTCCACTTTATTTACCTGAGTCTCCATAGGTACAGTTGCTTGCAGCATCCTTTGGCTGCAGATCACGATTGCTGACCAATAGGAGCTGTGGAAAGAGGTGCAGACTGGAATACTGCTTCCCACAGCACTCATTGGTCAGGAACAGCAATCCACAGCCACTGGGAGATATAGTGCCTGTACTTGTTGAGGTGCAGGTAAATACAGTAGTGGTCCACCAGGGACTATCCCTGGTGAACCACATGTGACCCGCAGGCCAGTTATTGCCCGCTGCTGGTCTACAGCATGAAAGTTTAGCTCACTGAACATCTTTTCTCCTGATCAATTTTTCTTTTCAAATCTTTACACGTGGGACATCTGGCAGCCCCTTGAATATGAAATCCTATGTGGTCACATACACCTAAAACTAGTCCAGTCCAACTATCTGGTCAAACCACATTTCACTTAAGCAGGGGCAGATGACCATTTTGCGGGGCTCAGGGCAGCCCAATTTTGCGGGATCCCCCTTTGCCACAGCGCATGCGGGTGGTTTCTTGAAGCGCGGGGCCGGGGGCGGCTGCTCCGTTCACCCTGCCCTATATCAGCCCCTGCATTTAAGTGGGATCTTGGTATTTCTGAAAACCTCCTCAACACATATTTATCTCTATAACTACCACTTGTAGTATTATAAATATGTCATGGGAACAATTTCTTAATCACAAGTAACAAAAGTACTATCTTTGGAATAATAGCAGTCTTAACTTCATTTGTATGTAAGAAATTATGCTATTCAACATTTGGCACCAGAGCACTGATCACTAACATTAAATGATTCAATCCAGGGCTAATGAAAGAGACAGTCCACTGCTTTCAAATCAGGAGAAAAGTTCTCCCTGTTTGCCTAAAAAGACCATTTTATAATACAGATCACTTTATATTTCAGAGACTTCTAGATGTGAAGTCTAGAAGGAACCATCTAGTCTGAACTCCTATATATCACAGACCAAATTTCACCTATTTGCTACCATTTTGAACCCAATATCTTGTGTTCAGCTAATGCATATCTTCCAGAATTATGTCCAAGTCTTGATTTTAAGAGATCAAAGCTGGAGAATCCATCACTTCCCTTGCTAGTTTTAATACATGTAGTGGTTGCCAGCCCCTCACCAATTCTTCACTTAGGTGTTTTAAGACAAAAAGGATCACAATATGAGGTCAGATCCGATATGAATCTTGGCTCTCTATTGCACAAACTGTAAAAATATGCTTCTTACATGAGATGTTACAGTGCAGGGTACTGCTCCATTACTAATAAAGGTTGCCCTGAATAAACTTTTCTGATTGTTTATGAAACTTGAACCTTGTTCCAGCAATTACATAGTACTCTCTGAAACCTAAATTCAAGGTTTTGATACAATAACAGGTTTGATTCTGTGTAATACTTTCAGAAAAAAATTACAGAAGCGTAGGTCAGTCTCCAAGGGTGTGTCTAGACTACAGGGTTTTGTCGACAAAAAGATTACAGAAGCATAGGTCAGTCTCCAAGGGTGTTTCTAGACTACAGGACTTTTGTCGAGAAAACTATACCTGCATCTACACTGCCTCTCAGCTCTGTCGACATAACGTCAACAGAACTCGGCAGTTTTGTCGACGGCGGGAAAACTCATTCTATGAGGAATAACGCCTTTTGTCAACAGAGTTCTGTTGACAGAAGGCATTATTGCATCTACTCTGTCCTTTGCGTCTATACTGTCATGTCGACAAAGGGCTTGCTTTGTTGACAGAACTGGATGTAGTCAACAGTATCTGTAGTCTAGACGTACCCTAAGAGATAAAATTAAATGAAAGAAGAAGGGTGCAATATCAGCTATACATGATTTGCTCCAATATACATTATATATCCTTTTGAAGGGTACGTGGAAATTAAAACTCTGTAAGACTGACTTTTACCAGTTTGCTAGTAAAAAGCGGGGAGACGTGGTAATATGATTAGTTATACTATAGTGATTACTTACTCTTCCAAATCTACAGTTTACTTCTACAATAAATAGGATATTAATGTTATGAAGAGATGTTCAAGCAAATTGTTAATATCTAAAAAGTAAACAAAATCAAGTCTTGCAGAGGAGAGCTCTTCATTACAAACTCCATAGTCAACCAAGTGATGATATGTGTTATTCTTATAAGAAACATGGAAACCTCCTCTTTTACAGTTGGGGAAATATTTAACTAGACTATATTATTTGGATTAAATATATACTCTCTCTCAAAATAAGATGCCATTTTTTGACATCCTCATTTTTTGAGGGTTACAGGATCTTTCAAAACTAGCCAATTAGCCCGTCATAAGACGGGATTTTCAGGTCTTCTCTCCTGAGCTCTCTCGCTCTGTCTCTCTCTCTCTCTCTTCATACTGCCTCTCGCCCCCCTCAGTTCTCCTCTGCCTCCTGCCTCTCACTCTCCCTTTCTCTTCTCCTCCTCCTCCTGCCTCTCTCTCCCCTCCGTCTCTCTCCTTCCCCTTCCCCTTCCCTCCTGCCATGGTGCTTGGCTGAGTGCTGCCTGCTTAGCCGGGCTGCCGCGAGGGAGGGGAGCGGGGCAGTGACGTACACGACAGGGCCACTCCCACCCCGGGGGAGCCCAAACAGCCCCTTGTGCTGCTGGCTCCCCCGGCAGCCCGGCTGAGGGAGGCAGCACTCAGCTGAGTGCCACAGTGAGAGGGGAAAGGGTCGGTGATGTACCCGGCCCTGCCCCCTGGCCGTGTATGTCACTAGGGTTACCAGGTAGGGTAAAAAAAACCCGGACACACTTGATCGGGGCGGGAAGGGAGAGGGACCGGCCAGGATAGGAGTTGGGATGGCTGGGAGGAAGGGGCGGGCGGGAAGCAGAGCTGGGAAGGGAGTCAGAGGCAGCGTAGCTGGCCAGGGGAGAATGGGAGAGGGGCGGCCGGCAGGAAGCAAAGCTGGTCGGGGGTGGCAGTCGGGGGCAGCGAGGCTGGGCGGGGGAGGA